TATGTAGTATTACTGAACAGAGTTTCATATCACAGGGATTCACATACAATATCTGAACTTTAACTCTTAGATAATCCAAACATATCTCAAAGAAAAAGTATTCCTGTGTTTTGTTTTGAATAATGCAGTCTTAATTTAGTTGTCTTTTGATGAAAAAATGCCTCACTGGCTGACAGAGAAAATAAGAATTCTTAAGAAGTCCTGTCTCGATTTCAATTTCCATGAAATTTGTGTTATGTACCTAAAACAGTTCAGTTTTTCAAATGCTTCAAGAGGAAGAATCTTTACACAGGGCTATCCCCTTCAACTAGAGTTTGGGACATCCCAAGTAATGGGAAAGAAAATTCTACTACCTTAGAAACTTCTCCTACATTACTGGTATTTTTAATGCCACTTACTTGCCCTCGGAGCTATAGCTATTTATGCTGCCATCAGTGGATTCTCGACTTGGCTGTCGAACCATTCGACTTCTCATCTCTGCTGCCATTCCTGTTTCTGTGCTTCTCTGTATCGTGCTTTTTAGCTTCTTGCTGCCAGCCTCTGAAAGCAGAGAAAAAGAAGCAACAGTTAGAATGACTTACAGCAAAGCCTTCCCTTGCAGTTTTCACCCAAGAACAATGATCTGACTTGGTCATTACTATTTACTAACATAAAAAGACTATTCATATTGAAGAAGCAATCTCTCTTCCTCGGCTGCAAACTGGACTTCTCTTTAAAAGGCTGCAACCTGAAAATCTTCATTAGAGCAAACTGTTAGAAATTAGATGTCATGTTAATAGCCTTTACATAGTTGGAATGCAGACAGGTCATGACACTGTCTACTAACCACATAGTTGGAAATGTGCCTCTAGCCACCTTGCTAGGTTGGGTGACTGCAAAAGAAGATAACAATTCTCACAGAAAATAAAAAAAGGGAAAAAATCCTTCATGCATTCCACAGAAAAATGTTAAATACTAAGATACTTATTATCGAAAATACAATAATGTCTTTTGACTTGGCAAAATCTTACTTCTCACCACAAAATGTCTTCAAAGTGAACAGTGAACTTTACAGAACGTATGATCTCAGCAGTTCCAAAACAGAAATAACTTTTAGGGAATTTGTATGGGAAACCACAGAATAGTTAAGCTGGACAGGACCACAGTGGAGCATCTGGTCCAACCTCCCCACTTCCTAGAGCCCATTGCACAGGATTGTGTCCAGACAGTTCTTGAATACCTCCAATGAGGAGACTCCACAACTTGTCTGGGCAGTCAGACTCTAGGCTTGCAACTGTAAGATTAGATGTAAAATTTTGAAATTGTTTAAAGACTTCATCCATTTGGTAAAGCTTCTATCCCATGTCCTTTAAAATGCAATTTGATTTTCACCAGGAAGTTTTCATGTTTCCCTTGAGCAAAAAGGGCTTCCAGTCCTTTACAGGTTCTCTGTGTTATGGCTGATCTAGAGTGAATTCTGCTGTCACATGGCAGAAATTATACTTCTGGATGATGATAACTGTTCTCAATGATCTCCAAATTTCTTCCACCAAGGTCTCCATGTGATGTAATAACATTTGCTGTCTTCAAACTCAGTGTCCTGATCTTTTTCATTTACTTCAAAATAGGTACACAAAGTTCAATGGGTAACATCACTTACTCTCAGAAAGTAATAGATTTGACAAAGTACATCCTAAAATATTCTTCTGCATTAACCCCTTCATTTCAGTGCTCCTTTATTCACCCATGGAAAGTCTGTGCACATCTTTTTCATGGTCTGCTCAGAGAAACAGCTGAAAAAGCAAATTATTTCTTCCATCTCCACCTGCTGTGGAGACTGAATTGCTCTGAAAAATTTTTCACCTTCCTGTTCCACAGGCACATTGCTGAGTTTAAAACTGACAGATCTTGACAGATCTTACTCATCACAATAAAACTTAAGACTTTGTAGCCCCCACAAGCCTGTTCATTCCCCAGGGTGTTTAAACATGCTGTGGAGATCAGGTAGCCCTTGCTCTTTGGGTCTGCAGAGCTGGTGGAGGGCAAGGAGAAATCATATGATACAACTTTCAGAGTAACCTCTTTGAAGCTCATGGTTTTGGTACAGATTGGTAAAGACATGTTGCTCTGGACAACATGGTGGGTGCTGAAATTTAGCAATGAGAGCCAGGCTGTTGGGACAAATAATGAATATAGTCATAGAAATAATCACTGTGAAAAATGCCCATTGACTAAATTACAAAAATTAATATTTTAGCTATGAGCCCCAGTAGAGATTGAAAATAGCAGGCGGAATTCTTTTTTGAAGAGTAATGTTACATTGTCATGGATAGCATTGGTATGGCTGGTTAAACACACTTCTTTGCTCCACAGATTTGAAAAGCACAGACCATGAAGCAGGAATCCTTGTGCATGGCCACATGCAAGCCCAAAACTTTGTCTCGCTGAGCTGCAAGCACCAGACTGTCTTTTTTCCAAGTACTTTTCAAGTCACTGCTCTCTGTCTTAGAGTGCCAGATTCTACTTCTTTCTTCTGTCTCATCAGTATTTTTTCTTTTCAGGTTGAAGGATCAAAAGCATACTTTTGCCTCCCCATATAAATGCTATTAATATCCACAATGTTTCCCGGGAAAACTAGATTCCTCCAATTTATTTACTTTAATAACCTCAGTCTTAATATTCTGAAGTACAATCAGAAATATAACAGTAACCCAACAGAATGATGAAACACAACAAAAGTTTTATGGCATAGAGAAAATTGCCTTTGCCCATGGATAAGAATCAAAATACTTGTTGCATAGGTTTTGGAAGTTTTAAACTTGGTCACTTATGCATCTCATATCTTGCATGATATAATACATTATTTTTCCAATTTTAACACAAAAAGTCAAGAGGTGGCTAATCTTGTTAGTCTGCTTCTGTAAACTTCTCAGCAAAAACTAGTTCTATGAAGGAGGGAGGTGCTTGACATGCAGATGAGTTGGGAACTGCTTCTATTTCTAAAGGTGCATTGCTAAAATGAACTCACTCTGGGTACAGTTCCAGTCCTGCCTTTACTGCACAATGAAATAAGGGATCCAAACCACTACTAGTGTATTCCCTGCTATTGATAACACTTCTTTTAGAAAACTTTCACTTTCATCTTGTATTACTTTTAATCTAACAGCTCTGCATATATCTTTGGAATGCTGTGCTTACATGAATAATACAGGTTTCATAAAATATTCAAGTTCAATATCTATGCTATGACATACTGAGAAGATTTTCTGCTCTTGTCAGAGTGTCTATTGCAGAATGCTTGATCCTGCTCCAAATTTTTATTAGTTTGATATGTAAAATTAAATTTTATAATACATTACAGTTATTTGCCTGCACTATGTAAATTACGCTACATTCATTGTGCAGACTGAGGACGTCTCTATACTGAATATCATTTAGATGTAACATTTACTCCAAATGGTCTGTGTGCTTCTCTGCTGTGTCAATGGTGTAAGGATTTCTGCACACAGGAATGCAGACTGATGAGCATAAATTACATGCAAACACCTGGCTTAACAGTTACAAGCTAGAGAAAAACTACTAAAAAGCAATTGTGATGAACATTTTTGCAAATTTAGTAATTGATGCCAAAGCATCATAAAGCAGCCACCTGCAGCTATGAAATATACACAGCTTGGAAGCATTTTGCAATTATTCAACAGGCTTGTTGCAGCAGTCTTGCTATAACACCCTGATGAGTGTGTGCAATGTGGTATTTCCATGTACTTATTATAAATATAGTGATTCCTATTTGGTCTGACAAGAAACTGGCTCCTGATTTTGGTTTTCCCAGACAAAAGTAAGTTAACAAAGACTGGGACCTGAGTAACCAAGCACAGCAAAAAGCAACTATGCTCTACCTTATATCGGCACAAAATATCAAAGCAATTGATGTGTTCCAAATTTCTGTACTTCCTAATCATCTCAAGTCTAGGAGCCAGGAGCTATTAACAACACAATCATAGTGAGAGGGTCTATGATATTATCTAGAGATTTAAGACGGCCTGCTACAGATACCTTTACATTCTAAAGGCATCCAATTCAGAGACAACAATGTCAGACATTCTCTCCTCCCAGCCCCCTCCCCCCAGCACTTAGCAAAGGCATGGCTGCACATGGCATCACCATTGGCCTGGCTTTTCCTCTGTGCTCTGTGTGGTGCCTGGAGACAGTTACTACATTTTGCTCTTCTTTCAGTTCAGGAAGTCTGAAATGACAAGAGGGGCTGCTGGAGCAAAGCCTTCATCCAAGGTGCCAAGGTGCGTATTACATGCCATGGATCAAGGCTAGGGGACATACAAGAATGTGCAAGGACATGAGCTTGGCAGCTTAGTCAATGGGACAGTATTAGAGACCACTGCAGGGCAAAAGACAATCCTGACATGACAGAAGCAAATTTACACACATGGAGCACCCAAGCACGTGAAAATTCATTACTGGTCCAAAAGAACACACAGAGAACAAAGCATCACTCCTGCTAAATCCACTAATGAAAGGGATCACAAGAAGTGTCATTGCATGGCTCAAGGGCAATTCATTCACAGTATCAAGTATGCTCTTGCATCCAAAGAAAGCCTAGAAGGACTACAGCCCCAAGCCAGCTCTGACTGAAACCTGGCAGGACTGTGACCATATGGTTGGTTTGTACACCGACTGTGTGAGACACCAACTGGAACAGTAAGGGTCAACCCCAATTCAAAGATCTATAAAAAGAAAAGCCAAGGGGCACATTTCCTTCTGGTCCTTTCTGATGTGTTAGTGATTTTACAACTTCAAATTTAGCTGCTTGGAGACCAGCTGGATTACAAGTTCTGCAGCATCCCCCTCATTTTGCATGTAGTGCATTTAAACAACAACAAAATTTATTTACACATGAATTGACAACGTGGCCCTTAGATTATAGTCCTAAAGCAGAGACAGAAAGAAAAGAATAAATAATTCAAAGAGCATTTTAAAAAAATATGTGTACATCTATCAGATGAACTCAGCAGCAGATTGATCATTAAGACTGAAAGTGCATAATGACTATGGACAGAAGAGAAATAGCAAAAAAATTGACATTTAAATACAAATTTCAACAATGCAAGTTCCTAGTCTTTATATCACGCAATATTCCCCTGTATTTTCCATTCTGTGTATTGTGCAATACTCTCCTGAATATAATGTTCTTTTTAAAAGACGTGAAATATTGCAGTAATTGTCTTTTGAGTGTTTCTTCCAAACATCACACAATATATTCAAAGAAAGGAGAATTGCTGTTGGTATTCTGCGGTGTTAGATCCTGAGGTTTAAAATCCAGATATAAACCATCATGCACTTCTTCCTATTGCTATTTTTTAAAACAAATCTATAAACAAAATTTATACTGATATAAATTACAAAACCTTCTAGGAAGAATATTCACCTTTTCAGCTGGGACAATTCATTGAGAAGAAATTTTTTCAGAAGTTTGGAATAAACTCTATCTCACATCTGTATTTACAAAGTCACAAACTCATCTGGCAAACACCTTTCTTTCCCAA